CTGATTCTTATAGTAACTGTATATTTTGATTTGGGGTACTCAAAACAGTCCTGGTTTCTGCCCTGGGTTCTGGAATCCCATCTAGTTTAGCATTGTCCTGCTCCCTTTCCCTCTCAAAAGTGTTCCAGTTTGGACATTAAATTAAACGGTTACCCATGTACTCCTCACTGTGTTCCTCACACTCTCCTTCCTTCCCAGGTTTAAAAACCCTCCCCGGGTACCCTACCACTTGGTTAGTTACCATCTGTGGTGAAGCTCCTGCACTCCTCAGGGGACATGCCCGGCTTATATGCTGCATCCACATAGCCGTAGATATAGGTGCTGCCAGAGCCACCGATGGCGAAGGGCTGCCGAGTCAGCATTCCTTCCAGGGTTCCATACACCTAGAGGGGGCTCCTCAGGTGAGACTATGGAAGCATCAGTCCTTTCCTCGCCACTGAGACAGGCAGGGTGTCTCCGTGTCCTGCAGTGAAGCCCCCCATCTCCTACTCCCATCGGTTGCGATTATACTCTGCTTTCAGAGGCGGTGTCCTGGGAGCCCATTGCTAGAAGGATATAACCTTTATCTCCCCCTATAGGGTGGTGGGGAACACCAAGGGACGGGGTACATAGGAAGACATGCACCTGGCCCCCGGCACGTCGGTCCCAGCCGGCTACTATGAGATGCGCAGACAGGTCCTCCCGATACTTATAACTGATATTCCTCACCACGTTCGCAGCAGCCAGAACAAGCGGAGGTTCTTCCAGTTCCAACCTAAAGGAAGTGTTAGTAATAGGGGTCAGTATAATTTCCTGAAGTTCCACTCACCTGTGCCGTTACCATCATCCCTGCCAAGTGACACGTGACACCTGAAACCTGTGGTTGCAAGAGTTCAAACTCCAGCTCCTCTCCCACATGGACAGGGGGACTAATCTCACACCACCCACCAGTAAGAAGATTCAACGTTCCCTTCCTTTACTCTGTCCCACCCACCCATCCCCCAATTATACAACGCTTAGCTGCAAGGGCCGTGCCCATGTGGGTAAAAGCAGATAAGCTTTACTCCTGCACCAATGACCTTGGTTTCTCACCCGGTAACTTCCTGATATATGGTGAGCCACATCATCGTCTTTCTCGCTATTTAGAGCGGGACCGTGATTTACAATGTTCAGGCCATTTTCACATATATCATTTGATTCTCAAAATAACCGTCGGGTGAGATAGGGTAGGTACTATTAATTATCTCCACTTTACAGAGGCGGAAGCCACATTGGAGATTCAAGTGCCAGTTCAAAGCTAATAAAAACAGGAGCACAAACAAGAAGTTTTCATTTTTCACTGCAGCATTCCTGGAATGGGACACTGTCTCGGGGTTGGCTGGTGGGGACAACTCTGGTGAATGTGGACTTGAGGACCCCAAAGCTTCATACCCGTGGAGCTCCAGTTGGTAGGCGGCCATGTCAACCATGGCTTGGGCATCAGCAGCTGAACCAGAGAGAGCACAGTAGATGTGCTGGTGTAGTGGGGATAGCTTGTCAAACACCCGGTTTACCACCGCCTCTCTGCCGGGAAGGAGTCAGCAGTCATCAACATTAGCAATGCCAGAATTTTTGAGGTTAATCATCCAGTGTTTCTCAAATTTATTTGACAAGAGAATAGCCCCGGAGTCCATGAAATTTAATACTTGGATTAAAACAGGAAGAAAAAAAATCACCTCAAATAAATGAAACACTGCAAGTAATTATCAAAATTAGACATTTTCAGGCTTAGACTTTATAATAAGACAAAAAATAGTAAATGAAGAATCATGTCCTTAAGCAATTTTTCTTTGCTACACCCATCTTGAGGATGTGCTCTATGGGACATAAAGTCAGTAATATTGACCTAACCCCATATACTCATTTTGCATATGGGGAAACTGGCCAGGATGGAGGAGACAAAATTAGTTCAACGTGTGCTGGATGAGAAACCAGAATATCTGCTTGGCAGGACCATCTTTTTGTTCTTTTCTTTTCTTTTTAAGATTTTATTTGTTTATTAAAGAGAGAGAGCGAGAGAGAGAGCACAAGCAGGGGGAGCGGCAGGCAGAGAGAGAAGCAGGCTCCCCGCTGAGCAGGGAGCCCAACATGGGGCTCCATCCCAGTACCCTGGGATCATGACCTGAACCAAAGGCTTAACCCACTGAGCCACCCAGGCACCCCTGAACCATCTTTTCTATCTCTAAATATAGTTGGAAGGAGGGCCCCTGAAATCTTTGGGTCCTACTTCCTTCTCATACCCTATTCTTTTATACCCGTCCCTGCAGGGACAGGCCACATAAGCATTCAGGCCCCAGATTCTCCTCCACTAATTCAGGGACCCAAGCACTTGCCCAGTATCTCATCAGAGGGGCCTTTCTGGAAGGTTAACTCAATTTCTGCAAAACTCCACTTTACCAGTATCTTCATGAATGGGTAAGAAAAATCTGTATTTGGGGCCATTGGCTTCCTTCCAGAAGTATTCACCTTGTCCGGTACTTACCCTGCAGACACCCGGGAATCAGAACCCACCACAACACCTCCGTCAAACTCCACTGCCATGATGGTTGTCTGCGGAGACACAGAGGATGGAATGTCAGAGCAGGATGAACTTTGATTCTCTCATGTTACAGATGAGGAAACATTCCTGGAGAGGGGAGGTGACTGGCTCAAGATCATATAGCAATTTAGGCCAGAGCGGATGTCCCCTCCATCCCTCCACTTTCTCCATCTCCTCTCCCAGCTGCAGGGGAATGTCACAGCCTGGTCCTGGCACAACACGGAAAGAATCCTATCCCTGGGCCCCAACCTTCCTAAATCGAATCCTTCCCACTATAAAGAGAGAGAGGGGGATGAGGTTCGCAGAGGCAGACATTTGGTTCATGGGGGTGCTTCCAAGCACTGGCGGGCGAGGCAGCCCCACAGCGAATGACCTTCACCACATGTGCTCGTGGTGCGTGCAGATGTGGTACAGACCCAACACAAAGCAGGTTAGTGTGACCTTGGGAAACAAGCTCAAGTCTTTTTTTGGCCCCTAATTCTCCACCTCACACCCCATAACCAGTTTATTAAACAGCAGAAACATCAAGGAGTGTGGTGGTTAGGCGGGTCACACATTAAGTAAGGAGGGAAGCAGCCAGGAACACACGAGATGGTTTAAAATAAAGGTTTCATTTAAGGATTTCTTTTTTTTTTCTTTTTTTAAAGTGGGCTCCATGGTCAGCGTGCAGCTCAATGTGGGACTTGAACACAGGACCCTGAGATCAAGACCTGAGCTGAGATCAAGGGTCAGTCACTTAACCGATTGAGCCACCCAGGTGCCCCTCATTTAAAGAATTCTGATCAAGAGGTCAATAGGTATCTCAGTAGCCAGGGGAAGAGATCTGTACCAAGAGAGGATTTGCCTGGGGAGTTTGAGCTCACTTTTTCAGGTCAAGAGAAGAAATCAAGGAAAAGAACTAAAGAAGGTGAAAGGGATAAAGCTACATGTTTTCTACTCCTGTTGAGTTGGAAAGAGCCTTAAAGATCCTTGGTTCAAATGAGGAAAACTGAGTCATGGAGGAGGTGATTGACTTGTCAAGGTCACCCAGAATTAACAGACTGGTCCCAGACTGGGACTAAAACCCAGGCCTAACTCCCATCTCTTGCTGTGACTTCTGCTTCCTATTTCCCACTGCTCATCTGGCAGTGAGGGGGGAATGTTCTACCTTGCAAATGGTTTTAGTGCATCGTCATCACTCCGTAGGTAAGTCCAGACCCCAGGGCCATTGCCCTGAGTGTGCTTTCTGACATACTGATCTACCATGAATTGAGGCCCATTGAGAAAGGGCAGCCCCATCCTAGAGGTTATTCCTCTAAAACAAAGCTGCCCCCAAGCCAAGAGTGGTGGCAGTAGCTTGGGAGCAGAAGCCAGCCAGCCTTGGCCTGCGGACAGCCTCAGTTGCCCAGTTGGGCAAGCGGGTGGGAGTGGGCGGGAAGGACACAGGGAAAGGAACGTGGCAGCCCCTGGGCCAGGTGGGAGCCTTCTTGGATCAGGCTGGGGAAGGACACCACCGTCTCACAAGGAACCCCTGTTATCAGGGCTAGGGCTATGAGTTACCCCGCAGTCTGTGTGATGAGCTGTCCCTTCTCAATCAGTGCCCATATTCTCCTCGCCCGAGTGCTGTCCTACTTCACCGAGGGCACCATTTCATCACCAATCTGCACCTTCTCCGACGCCTTCCCTTGATTTAACCAGCCCCTCTCCCCAGTCCAGAGTTGAAAGCGAAAGCGCTTTAGAGGCGCTTCCCCTTGACGCTTCCAGCTAAGAGCCACGGCACCCCCTTCTCCACCCGCCTCGCGGGCCCAGTCCCTTGGCGGACTCCTACGTGACCCCCTTCAGAATAGAGATGCCCGTTCTTCATCGCAGGGAATCTCTGCAAGCACTGGCTGCTACAAAGCTGCCTCCTCACTCTTTCAGTCCCCGCATTCACTCCTCGGAGTTGCCGCGTCCCCCTGTCTCTCCACCTTCTCCAGCTCTCTGCTAAACCTCTAGCCCGCACTCCTTACCCCAGTGTGGACTTCCCCGATCCGCAGCATCTCGGCGCCGCGCCGCTTGCCGCCTGGGTCTCTGGTTTCCGTCCGACCTGGGACCTCGGGCCGCGCGTGCCTCCCGCCCCGCGCCTTCACCACGCCCGCTAGGGGGCGCCTGGGTCCCCTCTGTGAGGCTTCGCACCCGGCGCTAACCTAATTGGCATAGATCTGCCGGGAGACAGGTGACGAAAGAGGCTGGGGTAAGACAGTTCGGAGGCTGGGGTAAAAACGTCCCGACAAGTGGAATTCGCGAGACGAAGCAAAGAAAGGAAGGACGACGAGTGTTTGTGATGGAGAAGGTGCAGCCGCAAGGCTGCTCCCCAAGAACCTCACATCTGATTTCCGCGCCTTCTCCCAAAATAGCCTGGGCGGGCCACATTCTGCAGCGGGGCGGATCTACAGAGCCGGCTGCCGCTTTCGTTTTCTCTTTCCGCGAAACCGCCCGCTTCTAGTAGCGCGGCCAGAACAAGCCGGTCCCGGGACTTTCCGGGATCCCCGCCTCCGCCCGCCCTGCCCCCCTCTCCCGGCCGCGAGTCATAGCGCCCTGTCCGGTACAGTCTCGGACAGCACCCGGAGCCTGCGGCCCGGCGCCGACAGCGGGGAGTCCCAGGCCGGGGCGCGACCTCCGGCAGCACCCACGCGCCCATGGGCAGCTCAGGGTCCCCCAGCCCCTGCGGCTGCCTCTGCTCGTCCCGAGCTTCCCTGGCGTGGCTGGGGGTACCGCTGCTGCTTCTCGCCGACTGGGTGCTGCTCCGGGAGGCGCTCCCCAGAATATGCTCCGTGCTGGTCCCCACCGAGCAGCCCCTGCTCCGGGTCTGTGTGGTGGGCCTGAGCCGCTGGGCTGTGCTGTGGCTGGGGGCCCGTGGTGTTCTCCGGACAACGGTGGGCTCCGGCAGGGAAAGCGCAGGAGTCCGGGGATGGCTGGCCGCTCTGCAGCCATTGGCGGCGGCGCTGGGCTTGGCCCTGCCGGGACTGGCCTTGTTCCGAGAGCTGCGCTCGTGGGGAGTTCCCAGGGATTCTGACAGCTCCAGGCTCCTGCACTGGGGAAGTCGCCTGGACGCTTTCGCCCTCAGTTACTTGGCAGCACTGCCCGCAGCCGCCATGTGGCATAAGCTCAGCGGACTTTGGGGGCCAGAAAGTCACAGGGGTTCAGGAGACGCGGTGCGCCGTCTTCTAGGCTGTCTGGGTTCCGAGATACGACGCCTCCGGCTCCTGCTGGTCCTGTTGGTTCTCTCCAGTCTTGGTAAGAGGGACGCAGGGGCAGAGGGACGGACACTGGGGGCCCGGGCAAGGATCATAGTAATAATGGTCAGTGAGATCGGTTAGTGTGGGGTCTGGGAAATGTGGATCAGGAGAAGGCGACCGAGCTCTGGTCGTGAGAAGACTTAGTCCGGTGTCAAGGAAAGAGCCCTGGACTGGGTGGGAAGTCAGGAGTCCTGGACTCCAATGCTGCTTCAGGCGTTGCTTCACTACCCACCTTGGGCAAGTCTTTTCTTCTGGGCAGCACAGCCTATGACCCCTGGTCTTCCTGTGTAAACCTCTGAAGGTCTGGTGGGGCGCAGGGTTGTGAGTTCCGGGGTTCAGGTGCAGGGCTGGGTCCTCAGTGTCCTCTTTCTGCCGGGGCCCTCCAGGATACCCCTGACCGGTTCGAGAAAGAGTGGGATGGCGGAAGGGGGCAGTCTGCTTGGAACTGCTCTGCTTGGACTTGATATTTGTGACTGACCCCTCCCTCCTCTTGGTCTCCAGGGGAAATGGCCATTCCCTTCTTCACCGGCCACCTCACTGACTGGATTCTACAAGACGGGACAGCCTCTGCCTTCACACGGAACATAACGCTCATGTCCATTCTCACCACAGCCAGGTCTGGGGGCTGAAGATGGAAGGCTGAGAATGGGGGACCCTGAAAAAGAGGGATCTGGAAGTTGGGGCTGCTGTCCAAAGTGCACTTGTTTGGGACCTTCTCTCCGTCCCCCGAACACACCCCGATCCTTCTCCCCCATCTCTCTCTAGTGCCGTGCTGGAGTTCGTGGCTGATGGGATCTATAACAGCACCATGGGCCGTGTGCACAGCCACTTTCAGGGAGAAGTATTTCGGGCTGTCCTGCGCCAGGAAACGGAGTTTTTCCAACAGAACCAAACGGGTGTGTCATGAAACTCTTTCATTACACATCTGTATACTCTTTTCCCCATATATCCTCTTTTACTTATAACCTTGATCTTTCTCTCTCTTTCTCACATAGACATTGTCGTTTCTTATTCTTGATATACCTCGAGTATTGTATTCTTTACCTTCAGAAAAACCTAGTTTTTCCATCTAAATTTCCATAAATTTATCCCTATGTGTATATTTAGATAGAAACTGTAGAATTTCAAACCTGGACATTTTGAGATCACAGAGTCCAACTGCCTAGTTTGCAGAGAAGGAAGCTGAGGCCTGGACCCTAAAATGCTGAAACTGGCATGGTCACATATGGATAGGGGTGAGCTTGGGGTTGATCCCCAGCCCAGTACTCGGTAGAGTTTTCTGGACTGCTTTCTAGCAGCACTCTCTGTTTTTCTCCAGCTCTGTTATATGACCAGCTTAAGCTCTTCTTGCCTCTGTTGTGCAGCATGGGGTATACATGCTCTTTACGGGACAGAAATGTGTCAGAGAAATGGAAATTCACATGGGCATCAATTTCTTTATGGTTGAAATGAAAGTCTTTCGCCAGGTTTTTACTCTCTAACACTCATTCTGCCTGCACCGAGATCCCTAAACTCCCCTACCCCCTTACCTTGTTTTCCTCAGCCTTCTCAGAACACCATGTTGCTGACCCCTTCCCCTGGCTCCTCCCCCTGGCTCATCGCTAGTCCCTCCCGCCGCTCTGAGCCTCTCGTTCATCCACTCTCTTCTCCCCAAACCCTGGCAGGAGCCATCACTTCTCGGGTGACAGAGGACACATCCACCCTGAGTGAGTCTCTGAGTGAGAAGCTGAGCCTACTGTTGTGGTACCTGGTGCGGGGGCTGTGTCTCTTGGGGCTCATGCTCTGGGGGTCACTGTCACTCACCATGGTCACGCTGGTCGCCCTGCCTCTGCTTTTCCTTCTGCCTAAGAAGCTGGGAAAATGGTACCAGGTATGTCCAGGGAGTTGCCTCACCCCACACAGACCTTCATTTCCCAGATTGGGTGGAATTAATTCCTCTCAGGTTTCTTTCTTGGCACCCTCACTGATACCCCACCTTCCCTGTAGCCCATGTTCCCAGATTGTTCAGTGTTGAGCTCCATACTCTCTGCGTCTTCTCTTCCAACTTCTGCCCACAATCTGTATGTATGAACATGATCACCAGTCTTAAGATTATGATCCCCTGTGACCCTTCTGAATAATTTCCTCTGCTCTGTAGCCCTTTAGTATCCAGAAAGAACAACTGTGCCCCTTTCTCTTTCCTTCATTATTCTGCCTCCTCTCATCTTTAATCTCCAACTAGGTGACTCAGGTACTAGTGTCCCTGATGGTTTGCCAACCCTCTGTGACGTCTCTTGTCCATGTCTCCAAAGGTGCTGGCAGCCCAGGTGCAGAAGTCTCTGGCAGAGTCCAGCCAGGTGGCCATCGAGGTGCTGTCAGCTATGCCCACAGTCCGGAGCTTTGCCAGTGAGGAGGCTGAGGCCCAGAAGTTTAGCCAAAAGCTGCAGGATATGAGTACCCTCCATCAGAAGGAGGCTCTGGCCTATGCAGTCAACCTCTGGACCATCAGTGTGAGCAACCTGGACATGAATGCCTAGTCCCTTGTCCCCGAGATGCCTCGACTCCATTCCCTTTTCCATGGCCCTACTCCATATGCACAGTGAACAGTGTGTTGGTTCGGTGTTCTCATCCTAGCAACCTGGGGCTCAATTACCCTACTCAGCTTTCCTAACTGCCTCCCTCTTTTTAGACCTGCCGGATGGCTTCCTGTCATCATGGTGCACAGAATCCATCCAGCCCCCCTTTTAGGGAGGTGCCATGTCTTTCAGTCGCAGGCCCTTCCTTTGCCTCTCAGGCCGCCCTGAGGCATAAAGTCCTGCACCCGGCCTGCGTCATGTGGGACTATGTGGATGTGCTAGTGAGAGCCGTGGGAACAGAAGAAGCCAAGGATGAGGGGCATCTGTTCCGTCACTGAAAGGGAACCAGAGCAGCATTCAGGAATTCCCGGCTCAGTGCTGCCATTTACTAGCTCTGTGATCATGGGCTAATAACTTACTTTCTCGAAACTGTTTCCTCATTTTATTTTTATTTTTTAGTTTTTTAAAAAGATTTATTTATTTGAGAGAGAGAGAGAGAGAGCATGAGCAGGGGGCGGGGCAGAGGGATAAAGAGAGGGGAAGCAGACTCCCCGCTGAGTGGGGAGCCCAACAACTTGGGGTTCAATCTCAGGACTCTGAGATCATGACCTGCATGGAAACCAAGAGTTGGATGCTCAACTGACTGAGCCACCCAGGCGCCCCTGTTTCCTCATTTAAAAAAGTGGGGATGGGGCGCCTGGGTGGCTCAGTTGGTTAAAAAAGTGGGGATGGTATAACCTTGTTTATAGGGTTCTTGCTATGAATATTAGATGACATATTCATTTAAAGCCTTTTGTGAAGAGTGCTCTGCAAATAAGTGCTCTGCACACAAAGCGATAATGGTGATGGGGAGGACAGTGATGACTTCTGTGGCATAGCTGAGCAAGACTCCATGGAGCCTCCATGGTGCATGATCCCCTTCCCCCTGTGGAGCCTCCTGCTGTTACCTGGCGGAAAGGGACTTTATATCTTCATAATGCTAATGAATTTAGTTCTTTGCACCCCCCTCTAGATTTTTCAACCACAATCCCTTTTCTCCGTGGTCTCTCCACAGATCTCAGGGATGCTGCTGAAGGTGGGAATCTTATACATTGGTGGGCATCTGGTGACAAGTGGGGCTGTAAGCAGCGGGAGCCTTGTCACATTTATTCTCTACCAGATGCAGTTCACCTCAGCTGTAGAGGTGAGAGCCTTCCATTTCCACTCCCCAGTGCTTTTCCTTCTTAGGTCCCATCACCGTCTGTGTCACCTTCCATTCTTTACCCTTCTCATATCACATCGCCCTGGCAAGCAGATTTGTTCTCTCCCTTCTCAATACTCATACCTCCCCTCCAGGCACTGCTCTCCACCTACCCCAGTGTACAGAAGGCTGTGGGCTCCTCAGAGAAAATATTTGAATACCTGGACCGGATTCCTCGCTGTCCTGCCAGTGGTGTGTTGACTTCCTTAAACTTGGAGGGCCTTGTCCAGTTTCAAGATGTCTCCTTCGCCTACCCAAACCGTCCAGATGTCCCAGTGCTGCAGGTACAACCTACCAATCTTTGGTTTTCACCAGCCTGACTCTCATCTCTACCATCCTAAACTTCCTTCCTGCCGTCAGCCTGTACACGAGGTACAGATAGATCCTTCCTAACCCCTCAAAGGCAAAGATGAGCACCATCTACGCCACACAACTGCCCCAAACTCAAGAACCTGTTTGGATTTGTAAGGGGAATGGAAGAAGAGGCTCTCAGGGAGAAGGGTCTCACATCCTAAGGAACTGCTGAAGCAAAATCCGTCTCTACTATCTTTTCCTTTTCTTTCCATTTGTCATTTAGAATATGATTTTTTTTTCTGTTTTCTCATGATATTTGATATCAAGTGTGTGACATAGTGGTGCTTGGTCTTTGTCCTGATCTTTGCCTCGCCTTCCATCTCTGCTCCTTGGAGAGCTATCTATCATCCTTGAGGAACAGAAATCTATGCCTGTGGGAGGATAGGAGTTGCTGTATTTTCCCGTTTTCCCCCCTTTCTTCCCTGGGGTAAGACATCCTACTATGTAATAAGACAATGACAGCCTCAAGGTTAGAGGCCTTAGGCTCTCTCTCTCTCTCTCTCTCTCTTTTGTAAGATTTTATTTATTTATTTTGACAGAGAGAGACACAGCGAGAGAGGGAACACAAGCAGGGGGAGTGGGAGAGGGAGAAGCAGGCTTCCCGCTGAGCAGGGAGCCCGATGCGGGACTCGATCCCAGGACCCTGGGGTCACGACCTGAGGCGAAGGCAGATGCTTAAGGACTGAGCCACCCAGGTGCCCCTGTCTCTTATTTTTTTTGATTCTCTGGCCTCCAGGGGCTGACGTTCACCCTACGTCCCGGTGAGGTGACGGCTCTGGTGGGGCCCAATGGGTCTGGGAAGAGCACAGTGGCTGCCTTGCTGCAGAATCTGTACCAGCCCACGGGGGGCAGGCTGCTGCTGGATGGGAAGCCCCTTCCCCACTATGAACACCGCTACCTGCACACACAGGTGAGCAAGAAGATGGGGGGGGCGGGGGACATCACTGAACGTTCTAACCGAGCACTCTGAAAGGAGGACCAGGGAATGATAGACCTTGGGTGGAGATGGGGTGTAGTCAGGAGAGAGAGTGTGTAATTTTGTGATATGCTTTCAGCAGAGATTTGGAGTCATCCGTCTCTAGATAACCACACTCCTGTGCTCCTTGTTCTCTGACTCTTCATCATATTTTGTCCTAGGTGGCTGCAATGAGACAAGAGCCGCAGCTATTTGGAAGGAGTTTTCAAGAAAATATTGCCTACGGCCTGGTCCCGAAGCCAACTGTGGAGGAAATCATAGCTGCTGCAGTGGTGTCTGGAGCCCATAGTTTCATCTCTGAACTCCCTGAGGGCTATGACACAGGTGCTCTTTCAGCTCATACCCTCACCCGGACATCTTTACCGAAACCTTTATTCTGTAGTTCTTTCCAACCCGCTGACATCAGTTTGAACTTGTAGGGTCTTGTTCCTATGGCTTTTTCATGCTCACATCCTCAGAACTCGGTCACCTTTCCAGAACCTTCCCTATCCAGCTGCATCCATCAGTCCTTGGTGTGTATATGTGTGAGTGTGCGCCCATGTGCACACACAGGCAAGCACGTGGAGGCACATGTGGTTATCCAGCCCTCACCTTGGCTCTTGTCTCCGCAGAGGTAGGCGAGGCGGGGAGCCAGCTATCGGGGGGTCAGCGACAGGCAGTGGCCTTGGCTCGAGCATTGATCCGGAAACCACGTGTACTCATCCTGGATGATGCTACCAGTGCCCTTGATGCAGACAGCCAGTTACGGGTGAGAGGGACATTCTTTTAGTGACTATATCCCCTCCAGTCTTCCTTCCTTCCCTCATCCTGTGTTATTTATACTAACATAATTATCCAGACCTGTCCTTGCAAATCTCAGTTCCCAATAGCTGCTCCCCAAGATGCTTAGAACCAATTCAGAGACACTCTCTATAGACTCCGAATCTCTGAAGCCAAACATAAGAAGGCCATCCTAATAATATTAATATCTATTGAGCTTTTACTCCTTTACTATGTGCCAGACCTGCGACTAGGCCCTCTCCATGTATTATTTCACTCCTTTATTCATCGTGAATGCCTGTGAGCTGGGCATTGTTATCCTCATCCTACAGATGATAAAAAGGGGGCCAAGAGAGGCTTGAACCACCTGCTCAATGTCACTGAGCTGTTGAGTAGCAGAGCATAGACCCAAAGTCAAGCCCACCTGACTTGAATGTTCATGCTTTTTACCACTAAGTTGTATTTCTTCAAAACAGAATATAAAAATCCCAGTTTATAGGTAGAAAGGAGAGTCTATTCGATACCCTTCACTCTTTTCTTATGGGTTTCACCTTAGGGCCCTTACTTTTTTCCACTGTTGCCACCTCATGTAAATAGTCCTTAACGAATCAAAGGCTGGACAGACAAGCACTCAGAACGAGAATCTGCGACTCCTTGGGCTTGTTGGCAGAGGTGGCAGTGATCTGGTGAAAGCTTTCCGGGCTCTGGAAACACAGATGTCTCCCTGGGCTCTTGACAGAGTCTGCGTCTTTTCTCAGGTGGAGCAGCTCCTGTACAAAAGCCCTGAGCGGTGCTCTCGGTCTGTGCTTCTCATCACCCATTGTCTCAGCTCGTTGGAGCAGGCTGACCAAATCCTCTTTCTGGAAGGAGGCACCATCTGTGAAGCAGGAACCCACCAGCAGCTCATGGAGAGGAGGGGGCACTTCTGGGCCATGATGCAGGCTCCTGGCGGGTCAGGAGCTCCAGAATGAAAGACTTCTGAGACCTGCATATGCCGTCTCCCTCCCTTCTTTTCTCCTCTCTAGTGGAGAGTTTGGGAACAAATGGCTTACCAGAGCTGCACAGGAGGCAGCTGCTTTTAGGAGGAGCGACATCCTAGAACATAACTCACTAGCTGATGCCTGAAATTCCGCCATGAGTGTTGCCCCCTCTCCAAACTCCTCTTGATAATGCAGATTTCTTGGAAGAAAACAGGGTTTAGAACTTCTTCCTGTAACTGGGTTCAGAGCCAGGATTTTGGTGTGGAACCCTGGAAATGAGAACTTTAGAATATACAGAAAAGGGGAGATCAGCTGCTTTCCAATATGACTAAAGTCATATGCCGGCCCATAAGCACCCTCTGGATTCTTGATATTTATAATAAAATTGGTGTTTTGTACTGTGGTTTCTCGTGTTTTCAGCGCACCGAATGGCTCACCAACTTTTGCAGTGAATTTTTCAGGCGTCTGCTGTCTCCCTCCTTCAGCAGCCTCAATGCTTCACAGTCCTAAGTGGGCCATATCCTCCCTTAAGTTGTCTGTTTCCTATGGTTGCCTCCTCCACTCTCCCACGCCCCTCCGTCGGCCCCCGAGGATGAGCCAGAGTGGGATACAGCACCCTCCAAGCACTAGCACCTGCAGTTCGGAGCCCTGGCCTTTCTGAGGGGGAAAATGGAGGTCGAGCGTAGCTAGCGGAAGAGGGAGTGCAAGCGCGCCGACCGTGAAACTGACTTTACCGCCTTCCCCGCCCTGGTCCCTTCCCGAAGAGCTCGCCTGGCTCAGAGATGACACCTGCCGGGGTAACTTCAGGGTAGTGGGCGGGGTTGTCTAGTAAATCTCTTCCATTCTGGGAGGGCCTTGGTGTGTGACGTCAACGGTTGCCGGGCAGTTTGGGCCAACAGAGGTTGCAAGGAGAGGCGGAGTTTAGAGGCGTTCTCCGCTGTGCTTAGTGGAGCAACAGTCTTGCAAGGAGGTGCGGGTAGAAAGGGCGCTTCTTCTGGGTGGCTATAGGTTAGGGAGACCGTTGAACCAGGAGAGGCCCTGAGGGACTAAGTCGAAAGATTCAGAGACTGCGCTCTCTCCTTGGTGCCTCCTTCCCCCACACACTGTGGGTATATTCTGTCGCCGGTTGCCCCAGAACCTGTCCTCAAGCCTCACTGCCCCCACGTACTCCTCTTCCTCCCACTTTTATAAAAGGATGCTCCTATGAACACCCCAAGCCCCGGAGGTGAAACTACTCCCAGCTTCTTGCTGACTTGCAGCTTTCCGGTTGAGTCTAAGCCTTTAGACGATACAACCCCAAACCCACTTCGTAACTGTTCCAGAAGATACCCGACGGCGTGTTGGTGTCTCTCACTGGAATTTCTGCACGAAGGGGGCTTTCGAAGCCGCTCCCTCTCTTTCTCCTTTTCTTCTGACAGTCTGTCGTCACCCATTGTTTCCCCAACTAACGTAAGGGCGGAGGAGAGAAACTTGTTCCCAAAATGATATTCCTGGTCTCCAGTCGCCCACTGGCCTCTTCTCGGAAAGGGCAGGGGGATGTAGAAAAAATTCTGGTTCCCTCCCCTTAAGGCTGCAGGCTTTCGCTTTCGCTTCCTCCTCCGACGATTTCTGGGTCCTAGGCGACAATGGCGCTGCTGGAGGTGTGCGGAGCCCCCCGAGGGCAGCGGAAGGATTGCGCGTTCCCGGCCCTGGGAAGCCAGCTTCGCTCGGACCCTGGACACTACAGCTTCTCTCTGCGATCTCCGGAGCTCGCCTTCCCCCGGGGAATGCAGGTCGGGGCTGTAAAGAGAATCCGGCCTGGAGGGGAGGCGGGGAGGAGGGCGCAGAGGAAGGGAGGGTCGCCCTCTGGGTCCTCTGGGTCGGGAGGCCGGGAAACCCAGAGGGGGCCATCCTTCAGCGAAGGAGAGCCACGTCCAGGGCCCGGTGCCAGGGAAGAGGCCACGTGGGAATCGGGGGCTGACCGCCTGAGGGTTAGAAAGTACAGATTAGGGCAAAGAGTTAAGAGGTGTGGTGGAGGGAGACAAGAGAACTTTCCTGCCAGTTCTCCCTCACACAGGAATCACGAATCACGCACGAATCACGAATCATGAAGCCTTTCTCCTGGGGCTCTCACGTGCCTTGGAAAACTGGGGAACTTTGTTAGCCTCCTCTCAGCCACTCTGTTGTGTGTCTTGGCTCAATCACTTCGTCTAGGTCTGGGGCATCGCTTGGGGATATTATTAATAAAACGTGTGGAGAGTGTTAAATGACCCATGAATGGAAAAAAAAAAACACCCATTAAAGTCGCCCTTAAAATGTTTACTTATGGTTAGCATTTATTTCCTCTCATATCTATTCTGCTGGAAGATGGAAAAGGTTGGCATCATGTGCTTCTTCTTTTCCCTCTCCCAAGTCATATCCTGGTAGAGATTGGTTATTAACTGTTCCAGTTTTTAATGGCTGGAGAATTTCTGCCCGTCTCCTCACTCCCAGTCTCTCGTGAAACCTTTCCTGGAGCCTTGTGTTTCAGAAGGTTTCAGTGTCCCTTTCTCTGCCTTTTCTCTCTCATTAGCCCACTGAATTCTTCCAGTCCCTTGGTGGGAATGGAGAAAGGAAGCTTCGGATTGAGATGAACCATGGCACTACCACTTTGGCCTTCAAATTCCAGCAAGGAGTGATTGTGGCAGTGGATTCTCGGGCTACCGCTGGAAATTATATTAGTGAGTGTGTGTGTGTGTGTGTGTGTGCGCGCGCGCGCCAGCAGGCCGAATCTGGGAAGCTGGGCCCCTCTCTCAGTAGGAGCCCCACATCTGCATCAAAGCAGAAGCAGATATTGATTTCAGACACACTGGGAGAGCTGTGGGGTCAATCCAACTCTCTCAAAGCTCCGTCTTCTTCCAGGCACCTCAAGGGTTAACAAGGTGATTGAGATTAACCCTTACCTGCTCGGCACCATGTCTGGCTGTGCTGCAGACTGTCAGTACTGGGAGCGTCTCCTGGCCAAGGAGTGCAGGTAGGCCAGGCCTCCTATCTCCCTCCTAAGCCCTGTGGTCAGTCGTGGATCCTGGAACCTCCAGATCACTGTTCCTCCTCCTTTCCCCCTGGGCCAATGTAGCATCTTGGTGCTAATGCAGTATTTCACAAAACAGCCTTTTGGTGATTAGACAACCTTCTCCCAAATCTCAGCCTGTGCTCTTGCCAATAAGCCAGGTAAGTTGTCAGTTATTTAGCACTGACGTCATCAACGCTGGTGGGATGGTGTCATTTGCTAGGATTTCTTATATGATTTGGATACTGTAAATTCCAAATCTTTCCCTGATCCTTAGATCCTACAAAAGCATTCTTCTCAAATGCTTATCTCTTTAATTATTTCCTGCACATCGAGTGGGCTGCTCCGAGAGCTAGCCTTCTCCTGCCACCTCTGAGTCCGCTGCCCCACCACCCTGTTGTACCCAGGCTGTACTATCTGAGGAACGGGGAGCGAATCTCAGTGTCAGCAGCCTCCAAACTGCTCTCCAACATGGTGTTCCAGTATCGAGGCATGAACCTGTCCATGGGCAGTATGATCTGTGGCTGGGATAAGAAGGTGGGTGCTCTCCATTCTCCCTATTCCCCCACGACGGATAGGACACCGGGTTCCTCATCGTACACTCCCACGCCCTCCCCTGTAAGATGCGTGGCACATAGAACACTGGGTTATAGAACCGTTCCAGCATTATCCATGGACTATTATTTCTGGGTCTAGATGTGGACCATTATTTCGTAAGCTTGTTCCTTTGGATAAAATAGCTGATTCCCACGTTTTCCCCCTAAAGGTCTATGATTGTTACTAAAATGTTGTCTTGGTTCAAATGTTCCCGCGTAATTCTTATTCTTCTACCCACTTTTTATGGCTCACACTTGAACCTGTATGTTACTGAAAACTCCCTCTGGGAAACTTCTTGCTTCCTATAGGGTCCTGGACTCTACTATGTGAATGAAAATGGGACTCGGCTCTCAGGAAATATGTTCTCCACTGGCAGTGGGAATACCTATGCCTATGGGGTCATGGATAGCGGCTATCGGCCTGATCTTAGCCCTGAAGAGGCCTATGAACTGGGCCGCAGGGCTATTGTTTATGCCACCCACCGAGACAGCTATTCTGGAGGTGTTGTCAACAGTAAGAGACCAATGCTACCGCACCCCTGGGTGGGGAAGGGGCATCCGAGATTGGGAGAGTTACAGGAGACAAAGTGGTAGGGAGGAGGTTTTCCTTCTTTTCTTTCTTTCTTTCTTTCTTTCTTTCTTTCTTTCTTTCTTTCTTTCTTTCTTTCTTTCTTTCTTTCTTTCTTTCTTTCTTTCTTT